ACAGACAGAGTCTGGCTCAGATGCTGGCAGTTCTCGCTGCAGTCTACCGTTAGCGTCTCCTTTCAGGCCAGGATAGACGAATGTCACCGAGCAGTGACTAAGTTTGTGGTCAAAGGTTTGCACCCATTTGCCACAGCAGATGCCCCCGATTTTCAGTAAGTGAATGTGTTTAATTGTAGGCAGGGACATTACTGGATATTCTTGTGTAATTGCTACAGAATAATTTATGTTATACTTTGTTATTGCTACAGAAGAATATTTATTTTATTATTTTACATTTACAATTTTTTTCCCCGGGGACCCAGTGACACCCCATTGAAGAGCCGTAGGCTGTGGATCTCTTAAGATCTCACTGTTGGGTTTGTAAGGCCATGTTACTCCTAAATTTCTATCTTGTTCAAAGAGAAGATATAAAACAAAGTTCTAAGCTAATCGACTTTAGTGTTCTCCTTTTTAAAAAAAGATCGATTAAAGAATCGAATCGTTAAACAGAATCGAAAATGGAATCGGAATCGTGAAAATCTTATCAATACCCATCCCTATAGTTTAGGTTAAATAATTGCACAATTTGCCATGCATGGGGGGGTTGATAAGCTACTGAGGTACTGGATTAGCAAACCCCTAAACTAAATAGCTCAAATATAGTCAAAGAAGTTTGAGAAGGAAAGTTTTATTTGCTTTAACTGTGTCCTCTTTGTCCACCCATGTGCTTTGCTATGCTGAGGTGCTTCCACTGCACAAACCGCACAGCTATAAGCTTCATGTTAGTTTGTTTAAATTGCATCATGATCTAGAAAAATGCATCCGCTTTAAAAAGAAAAAGAAAACACATAAACTTTAAAACCGCTTGTGTTTGGTTTATTCCTGAATCCTATTTATTACTTATCTACAAAAGTTCAGACGTTTATGTTTTTTTGAAGGAGAAGGAGATGAAATACTGTAGACAAACGGCAACATATGAGATGGAGAAGAGGTTGGACAGACCTGTATTCCAGCGTGACTGCAGAGGTAAAAATCGAACTCGTAGGGATGCGTGATGTCCGTATCCACAGTAGTACCAGCGGGAATGTTTCCACTACGTCCAACCTTGAAAAGCAAAATTAATTTCAGTTACCCTCAATACTAATGCTTTTTGACTTTCAACTTGTTTTCCCCCTTTTTCGCCATTAAAAAAAAAAAAAAAGCAGATATAGCAGGGCTTTTAATGCACTAAATGATGTCGGGAACTAAAATTTCTGATGATTAAAAAGAAGAACTAGCTGATGGAGAGACCCAGGCAAAGGTTTGCCAAGTGCTTTCCAAACAACCAATTAAAAGCCTAATGCCCCAGGGAGCCTAATGCTCTGTAAGAAGAGTGCGAGTGCTGAAAATAAGGTTGTTACTGGCTGGGTCTCACTCTCGGGGCCTTGAGTGCCACTCCAGAGCTCTTGGTTTGCACTGGGCCCTAATGCTTTAATCGAATGTAATTACAGCAGTCAGGAGGGTGAACAGCCGAAATGACAACAAAAGGTAATTAAAGAGGCCCATTTTCAGTAGTTAATGTTCCAACATAGAACATGAAAAAATATACAGATGAACACATGAACACACCATGTTGACTTTAAGCGGAAACGTCATACTAAAAGAGCAACAGCATGAGCTGGTGTGCGGTGAGGACTCACTCTCTCGTTGCGGTCGGCACAGAAGAGGCGTGTATGGTGGCGTTTTTGCACAACAATGTAGGTGATGCCTGGCTGGTACTCCTTCTCCAGGCTGATGCAGGCCTCACGAATGGCCAGCAGCTCATAATACAGCACCTGAAGAAGAGGACAATTAAAATAATATGAAAATATCATTTTTGGTTGTGTGTGCTGCCATATGATCCAACTTCAAAAAAGTTATACAACTAAGAAATTTGGGAATACTGTTATTGACTTTCCTCATTTGTGATTAAAAGTATTTATGGAATACACAAACATGTTCTTTACCGCCTCAGCTACAAAGATTAAAACGTAGCCAAACTCGGTAAAAAGCCAAATAACGTCTTGAACAATAAAATGACATACTGCAGAATTCTACCTGGTTTAGTCTTTTTTTCACATCTTTAGTAAAACCCTGAGTTTAAGATTTAAAAAAAAAGTGGGACTATACCTGTCTGAACTGGCCTTCTGAAACTCCATCCCTGTAGAAAATGATCCGTGTGGGCTTGTAGCGGGTTGACTTGTAGAACTGGATCAGCAGTTCCCGCACCATAGAGGCCAGGTCCTGGATGACCTCCTGCCTGGGCCTCTGGACTCGTACGGTGGCACAGTACCTGCTGGGGTGGGCGTCCATACTACCTACCACCTGACAAAGAGTTTGGAGCAGAGGAGCCATTATTAAAGGGGAATGGATTTTATGTGGAAGGGAAAGTGACACATTATTCATAGAAGTGTCAGCATTTCCTCCTCTCTTTGCGTTACTAACCCACTGAATGTTTTTCTGCATGCAGATCAGTACGTTTCAGCCCTGATCCAGGGTCAGTGCTTCCACTTGCCCTTTCTGCCGCCTCCCCAGTCCTGTCCCCTCACTGTACCTGTGCTTGACTTGTCACTTCTCCAATTGCACAAACTATTGTTTTGCACAGCTCAAAAGATCAGTTGAGCTGTAAGTCAGGGTGTCTGAAATTTAACGTTTTCTTATGTGTCTCTATGAGTTTCTACAAAAGTGTGACCATTCATTTGCTAAATCTGTAACTTGATTCATGTCTTTATTAGTTTTTCTGTTTGCACTCAGCGGTGTTTACTATTGTATGTTTAGTTTTCTCTCCCAATAGGATTTCACCCCCAACATCACTCACACTTAGAGAATGTGTCTGCTTATTAACATTTGGGTTTAGGGCTACAGCTAGTCTTCTGTTAAATATTTATTCTTCACAGACTGGGATCGAAGACCAAAATAACTCTTAAGCATTTGGATTTATTGTCTGTTAAGACTTTATTTGTCTTTCTGAAAGATTATCAACTCTTGCCTTCATCCATTACATCTTTTTACTACTTTCACATCGCCCCCTAGTGAGAGCTGGGGTTGTAACACCCATCAGGAAAGAGGAATATTATCAAAACAAAAACTACAATTTATATATTTAACTACTGGAGTAGGGGAACATAAAGAAACTAACTGCTGCAATAGAAGGCTTCTTCCCATCTCCGGCTGGTGGATGTGTAACATCTGCTCCCAAGAAGATAACTGGCTGTTGAAACACTGATGGTCTGCGGATTGAGAGACAGAAAAAAGGATCAAAAACACTGAGGTAGTTACATAACAATACACCAAGTGTAATGTCACCGTAACCCTTAACGTGAGACTTTATGTAATAAGACATCTTAATATAGCATTATAACACTGCCATATAATAAGAGGGAGACCGCAGCTCACCGTTGGTGAGGTACCAGGATGTTGTTGATCCCTCCCAGCTTCACATTGATCTTGAGGCAGAGGTTGGACAGAGTCTGCGGTGACGTCTTCACCACGTTCTTAACCTGAACACACTGAGTCGCCATGCCCAACAGAGTGTCTCCCACACGCTTTACCTCCGCTGTGAGTGATGCAAAAAACAGGAAGTCAGAGGCAGACACACGCACACACCCCACGCAAAGATTTCAAATCTGTATTACAACTGAAATTTTTTTTTTGATAGACAAAGAAGAGGACTCATAACTCCCACATTCAATCACAGTATTACTAATATTAAGACCAACAAGTGTGGGTTCAGATCGTAGTTTACTGTTAAAATGTTATCTTGTTTCTTTTGTTGCCATTAAAAAAATAATAATTCCAAAGCAACACACTGACATATTTATGCCTACTAGTATCAAATCGTACGGTTGCATCAGTGTGCACATGTACCACAGCAAATAAGATTCACTTCCCAGAATTATTTGCATTACTTTGAATTTTTAGGTGAAAAGGAAAAAACATCACAGTGAGATGCAAACTCTATAAACTTGGTTGATAATAGGTGCCTGTCAGCTATGAAGGCCTCCCTTTTAAACGTAAGGAAGCATCTACAAGCCAAGCACAGCACACAATACACAGCTCTCTGATAGCAAGAGTGATGCTGGAGATAAAGACACGGCAATGGCCAGCCTACTTCAGTTAAGCTGTCAATTTCAGGAAGTGAAAGATCTTATTACTGGAAAAGTAGCGGAGGAGATGAGACTAACGCTACCTCACTATGAAATGAGATAAAAGCAACACAATCAAAAGGTAGCTGGGCAGTAGGCAACACGTGCCCTGATCTATAAAGCTAACATCTGCAAGGGATTTAATTGCAGTGTTTATTTTTGGGAATGCAAAAGTAATCTTTTTATAAGTAGGAAAAACTTGTAACAAATGACTTTGTTTGTCAGTACCCAACACTGCTCTCGACTCAAATATAATGTCTCATTTTAAGCAGTTTTCTAACCGTAGACAGGAGTTTTTCCCGGCAGGATGACGATTATGAGCTGCAGTCCGGCATAGGTGTTCTTCAGGTGTCTGAACATGGGCTCCACGCTGTCTGCTCCCTGGGCGTATTTACAGAAACACGGCTGGCCTTGGATGGGCATCCCAGCATCCTTTGAGATTTTACGCAGCTGGTCTGTGAAACCCCTGACATGAAGAACGGAAGCAAGCAAAGAGTAAACAATGAAGACAACTGTTTTTGTAGAGCTCCAAGAATGTAGCATCTGAAGATGAGCTCAGGGGGAAAAAGAAAGAAAAAAAAATAGTGCCAAGGTTTCTCTGCAAAACATGAATATTGTATTGAAGGCAGTTAGCTTAGCCATTATGTCTTAATGCCCAAAATCAAACTAATGTCTATTTATGTTGTTGTTCATCCTAAATTTGTGTCTCAAAACTGCCTTTTGAAAGCCTGAACAAATCTGAGTACTTGAAACTCCAGCTGGAATGTTTCCACAGGCACTGTAATTTCTCAAGTAGGTGTTAAAATGCTTTTAGATAATAACAGGAATGGGATTTTAGTGTTTAGAGTTAAACACTGCTTCTGTCTAACAGAACGTGTACTGTTCCGCTAGTAAAAACAAAGACATCAAAAGGAAACATTAGGCCTCTTCTTCAAACAACATGGCCATCCGTGTTCTGCTCAGATGATCTGATTCTTCTAGTTGGGTTTTATTTGAACCAGAAATTATGAATTGATTGTGCTCTGCAGTTTGGGAAGGCACCCGTAAACAGATGAGCTCATTTCTAACATCAAAGCAGCTCAAAGGTACTTTTTGTAATCACCCTCTTAAAATTTTAACTGAATTTTCTTTCCCCACCAGGGGGCACTGTTTTATCAGTTTGTGTTAAAAGGTGCTGCTGTTCTTTTAACTTTTGCTAGCTATATCTATCTATCTATCTATCTATCTATCTATCTATCTATATATATATTTTTATTATTATTTTATTTTATTTATTTATTTATTTTAACCTAATTTCTGATTCTGTTGATATTTTAGTTAATTTTGGAAGATTTAAACCATTTTTCAAAAACAAACTTAAGTATTTTAATGAGAAAGGCAAAAAAAGACATGATTTAGAAATATTTATGATGACATATTATAAATATACCGCACGGTGATGTGATTGAGCGTCGCCACCATATTCACAGTGAGACAAAAGAACCTACGAAGGAGACCACTGGGATGAGAAAAAAAAAAATATTAGCACAGGATCTCACTTGAGGATTTCTTCTCGACACTGCCTCTGTGTGGCGAAGCAGGCAATGGCCCACATCTTGATCTCTACCCCGGTGTGGAACTGCTTTCCCCTCATGTCCCACACGCCGTGGCTGGGCGTGGCTACAGTGCGGTTCTGAAACAACACTACAATCTCACGCGATGTACTTGCGATTATGCAGAAAAACACTCACATTCACACTCCTCATACAGACTCAACAACCACATACAGCTAAACGCAGTTTCGGAAAATCCGCACAGTCCAAACGCACCCATGACCCACACCAAACTTGTACATAAATTCACATTTTGACAAACACTGACTCCATAAAAACAAGCTTTTATAAAAAATTAGCTTGAAAATTAACTGTAAAGCCATTTGCACTGTGTGCTGCAGACTGTAGCATTTAAGATGTAATTTACTGTGTGCATAACATTTAGTAAAGTGTGTATTTCTGTGTCAAAGGTTTCATTATTACATTACAATTGGTGCTTTCCTCCAAGATAAACAGAAAGATGTTAATCAACATTGAGGTTCAAGCTCAATAAGCTGCTTCTACACTTTAGCATTAGCAATGTTTTTTGCTCCGTATCAAATGCACTCGAGGAGCGATCCAATCATGAATTGGGTGATCTTTTGGATTCAAAATAATCTTTGTTGCAAATGATTAAAAAGTTATAAATATCCAAATGACCGCCTCAACATCGTGAACTTATTAAACGTTTCTAAAAATTGAAATAAAAGGCTGCACTACTGAGACTGAACCACAAAGACCAAAAACGGTGACATCATGGAGCACACACAGAAGCCAGTGGGTTAGTTCCCCCATAGAGAAAGTGGAGTAAAGGCTGCAGAAGGGGAGAGCGTGTCAGACAAACAGAGAGAATGGGCGTGATTTAAAGGAAGGGTACCATAAAGTGCTCTGTGCTCACCCTGCCGCCGTACTGCAGCATGGGGGCGGGTAGCACTCGCCCCGTCACGTGGGCCATCTCGTCACGCACTTTGAACTGGAACTCCTGCACAAAAGGGTCTGCCTCATAGTTGGCACTGCGCACCTGGAAGCAAAGAGAAGTAAAATTAGGAAGGGTCAGGCTAAGGTAACTTTTGACAGCATGACTAAAAGCCAGCGCAGTGCTGTGAGGGTGTGCTATAGAGGCAAGCATTCTCCCAAAGTTTCTGCTGCTGTTCGCACACTTATGGTGGCTTTTGGGAGCTAAAAGTAACCTTTGAAAAATCTGCAATTAAAATGACATTTTTCTCTCGCCTTTAAATGATTAACACATCACCACTACTCTGCCTAAAGATGACTGAAAACAAAGGGGATATACGGATCTGTGTGAAGTAGCAAAATGTGATTGCCTTTAAAGCTCAGTGTTTAAACCTTATACTCAATGTGTTAATATAAAAGCAAGTGTTAAACACACTAGGCAATCCACAACCAACCTCGAAGAGCTGGTTGTGAGGTAGAGCTGTAACAAAGCTAGTCTTAAAGTGTTCATATGATGTTGATGCAAAAGGAAAAAAAAGACTAAATGAAAATTACTGACATGCCACAAAATGTCAAATGTCAGCACTTCTGTCCAGAACAGGACCCATGACCACAATAACCAAAAGTATTACAGGATCCATTATGTAGTTCTGACAAACACAGCTTATTTGCTTGTTTTGTCCTCCTGCAACATTCAATCTGTTATTCCAACCACCATGTTCTTTCAGTTACGAGAAATGTTGCGTATAATGAAAATGCCAGCGCAGTGACATCTACAATAATTTCCTGTGGGCAAACGTGGCCATTTTGCTCCACAGTCAACAGATAGCAAGACAGGGTTTAATAAGGTAAGGGCAGGTATTACATGTGTGCTGCTGATCTGACGGTGGCCAGAGGGAGTCACTACATAGTTTGTCATCCTCTCTCTAAACAGCATGCTGCAGACACTATAGTAGCTCCACATTAAAGCTATTAAGATTACAACATTTTGTTGAGCCTGCAGTGACCAAATGTGATATAGAAACGTGTAGACCTGCCTCTGCTCACAATATAAAATGAGAATGTAGTCGAGGAGATTATAAGACCCGTAATTTAACACAAAAGGTGAACAGTACAGCAACCAAGTATCAACAAGCCTAACAATGCACCCAGTCACCCCGACCCCCAAAAGAGGCTCTTACTTTTGCCCTCGAATCTAAACTCAACCACTGGGAATGCATTCTTGAAGCACTACAGAGGGATGAAATGCTCTGCTGGTTTAATTTTAACAGCAGTAAACATAAATACATCAGCAATACATGCAGCAGTATTACTAATAATATACTACTGAATGAAATTTCAAGCTACAGTTGCCTGATAAACCGATACAAAATGTGTTAAATTATATCAGTAAAATATATTAATATTATTATTTAATAATAGTGTAGTGTGAGGGGGGGGATAAACTGTAAGAATAAAACTAAAAGTTCAAAATCTAGGGCCTCCTTCACATTTTTCCAAGGTTGTCCAGTGGGCCAGATTGGAGCCTTTGCCGGGCCAATTCTGGCCCCTGGGCCTTATGTTTGACACCCCTCTTCTCTACTGAACAGACAATTCTTAAAAACAAAGCCTTTTATTGTAATTTCCTATATTCAAACCGTGTGCATGTAGAAGACAGGAGAGCCGTATTCAGAGGGCATTTCCAGAACTCACCAGCCTGCTGATCTCCTCCTGTCTGTCAGGTGCAGAGCGAGCTGTGGCTTTGATCATAGTGGAGGTCTGATTATCTGTCAGCTTCTTGATGCACCGTTGACCAGCTACAATATTACACACCTGCAAGGAAACAAAAGCAAATAAGAGGCTTTCCTTTTTTTTTTTTTCTCCCCCCCTGGGCAAACCGGAGCTTTTTCTTGAGCTGCTCTGGGAGCTGCCCACCAGACCATCATGCTTGATTTAATAGTTACTGTCAGACCCCGACCCCCCCATAACTGAGTGGAAATGCAGTTTCTTTTCTCTCACCTCTAGGGGCAGGTAGGTGTGCTTTTGCTCCTGGCCCACCTGTAGACAGGGTAAATGTGGATATTTGAGCTGCAGGTTGTACTTCTCCCTGAAGTACTGGGCTACAGTACGCTCTACGGTCTGGCCATTCTCCAGCTGCAGAGGGAACCTGCAGAGAGGAGAGTTTTTGTCAAGAGCAATGCAAATGTTGATTGATGTGAGCTATGTCAAGTCCCCCATGCATTATTTTGCTATTAATTTGCTTAATGTGCAAGTGACAGACAGAAGGTCATCCCTCTGCAAATGCAAAGCTATTCAACTGCTAAAAGTCTTACCATAATTTTTTATTTGTTTTTAAATAGATATTTGGTTTATTGTCAGTTTCAGGATGAAAGAAATGGTTTGGGGAAGTGAGCAATGACTACCAAGCTTAGATCCACATGTGTTTTTGTCGGGCTTAAACTGACAAATCACTCTGTGATAATTTCCCTTTAAAAAAAATAATAATCAAACTGTAGTCATGGCACAGAGAGCAGTTCAGTCGCGACACTGCAGCCACACAGCTGCCTCACGAATGGATGACTAACATCGAGCGCATGGTTGTCGGATGAGTCAGCCATTATCTGGTTTGTTTGGTGGTGATTCTGTGAACACATCCTCCGGTTTCCCCTGCCTTCATCTCACTCGCACACTGTTCGCAGTGGCTCCTATTCCCTTGCCCACCCCAGAGGCTGACTCACGTTTGATGGCTGGCAGGTCGACGCGTCACGTTGCAGACGCGGTACTTCCTCCGCATGGTTCCACAGTGCGTCACCTCCACCTTTAAACCTGGCGAATAATACAAAGTGTTACCATTAAGTATTTGCTTTTGTATGAAGAGCTGTGATTTGTGGCGTCCCAGTTTAATCCGATTTGAACTCAACTCGTCACCTTTGATTTCTTTGGTGAATTTGACCCTGTGCGAGTCTGTGAGGGGCCGAGGCTGCTCGTCGATGTTGTGGATATCCAGCACTTCACACATGAACTGGATCACTGGCTGGGCTTTGTAGAAGGCTGTGGCAGACACTGCAAAGGCAAAAAAACAAAACAACTAGTGTCATTTAGGAACGACAACAAAAAAACAAAACTGAAAAATGAATATGACGCACTGCAAACAATATCTAACTGAAAGAGAGAGAAAGAGAAAAAAGTTATATCGAGTCAAAAATCATGTTTTGTTTATTACTGGACAGGAAGCGACATCAGAAAAAAAAAATAAAAGGCTGTCCAATCAACAGAAAGAACATTTAGCATTACGTTCTTTTTCTTAGCCAATTTCCCTTTTCAAGTTCGTCTTCTGGTGCACCCATGAAAAACATCCAGTACAGCCACCATTTTTACAGCGATTTCGAAAGTTTCATGACGTCAAGAAAAACTCGTCATCTGCACCGAATTTCCTCTAAAGTGCCAAAATGACACCAGCCTTCAAATTCACTTTCAATTTGATGAAGAGAAAGAAGTCACAGGAAACCAAATTTCGCGAGTAGAACAGTTGGTGACACTTCTGCCTTTTCAGTGCACGGTTAGCAGGCAGCGGAGGTATGTGCCAATGGGACACTCGCGGCACTTCCCAAAGACATTGTTTTCAAGTGGAGATAAGAATAAAAAAAAATAAAAGCTTAAGTCAAAACCAGCTGAGCTATAACAGCAAAGAAGACTCCAAAAGGAACAAACTGTATTCCTGATGTTCATTCAAAATGTGCATGGTAACCACACAGCGCAGGATGCATGATTCATGCAGAAGGGGATGTGGAGGCTACCTTGCATTAGCACCTTGTGTATAAGCACATAAAGGTAGCTGTGAGATGAGAGAGGGGGAAACAAAAAAAGAACAGGTATGACAAAACTAAAAGCCAGATCAAAGGAAACCCAAAAATGGACACGGGGAGATGGAGAAGTGCGGCGGTGAGGATGAGAATCTTGAGAAGTAATCTAGTGATGCGTTGTCATGTAAAAATCGTCTCTGAAAACACTAAAAACGCACATCTATGACGCTTAGCTTACCTTCCCACGCATTCTGTTTTCATTATCTATGCGCAGAAGTGTCTGAGTCACCGCAGTAAAAGAAAACCTTTAAAAACATCTCACTGCTCTGCAATTAAAATAATTTCCTTTACACTCACTGGCTACTTCATTAAATACACTTTGCTTGTATCGGGTTGGACCCTCTTTTTGCCTCAGAACTGACTTAATTCTTCACAGCACTGATTCAACAAGGTGCTGGAAACATTCATCAGTGATTTTTGTCCATTTTTACATGATAGCATCAAACAGTTGCTGCCGATTCGTTGGTTCCACATCCATGATGGGAATCTCCTACTGCTCTATTGGATTGATGTACACGTGAACTCATCGTCATGTTCAAGAGACCAACTTGAGATGATCTGAGATTTGTGAGATGGCATGCTATTCTGCTGGAAGCAGCCATCAGAAGTATACTGTGGTGATGGACATGGTCAGCATCAATACTCCTGTAGTCCAAGAAAATATCCCCCACACGATTACATCACCTGCAGCAGCCTGAACCAAGGATTTCTGGCAGGACAGATCCATTCCTTCATGTTGTTTTCACCAAATTCTGACCCTACCTCCATTCAGGGGGTCGGAATTCTGCTGCTGTAGCTCATCTACTTTAAGATTCTATGTGTTGTGTCTTCACAGGTGCTCTTCTGCATACAGAGTAGCTATTTGAGTCATTTGATTTGAAGCCGTTTGTAAATGCTCCATTGATGTCAGACTCGAAACACTAAAGAAGGCTGAACCATGCTACACTCAAAGTTACTTAAATAACATTTGTTTCTTATTCTAATGCTCATTTTGAACCGCAGCAGGTCGTTCTGACCACGACTAAAGTAGTTGCTGACATGTATTTGGCCAATTAGATTTTTAACATTAAAGACCAGTTGAATAGGTGTACTTAATGAAGTAGCTGTTGAGAGTACTTACACGCACAAAATGCAGACTGTGGGAGGTAGTGTTTGTTTCCTTCGTGCTTGGCTATTTAAGGCAGGCTTACTGCTTTGCTTTACAAATATACAATGCAACATGTGAATGGTTTGCAAACAGTCGGAGTTCTAGTTTGCTGATGAAGAGCAGACAAGACACTTCAGGTGGCCAAGTGTTCTGTACAAGAGGCCAAAGAAGACAAAGAAAGAATCAGAGAGCAGCAGAGATGCTCCAAAAGAGACAGCGGCTTCAAGCACTTAGAACTAAACAAAAGCCGTCTCAAGGAAACGCTCCACACAGCTACCCCTCCTGACCCCAGAAACACCCACTAGTCTCATATATGTAGGCACAACAGCACAAGCACACACGTACATGCTTCTCTCCGTCTCCACAGCAACAAACTAGTCAGTTCCCATCCAGCCAAGAACCCACTTTCCTCCGTGTTCCTTAGGCGCTTTCTCGCTCACACACTCTTTCTTATCAGCAGCCCTGCCAGACACAATCTCCAAAAGCCTCCTGCGGTGTGCATATGGCAGGACACATTCTCTGCCATCCCCTCTGCCGCATATTTTTCCACAAATAACAACAGATTGAAATTGTAGTGCATTGTCTCGTGTTATGTTTCTCTACTGATAGGAAGCTCAAGCTAGAGCCAATTATTGATTTCGATTTTCAACAGTTCTACTCATTTCCAAACAACCCACATTTAGCCAACAGAATTAACTCAAACGCTAACAAATTGAATCGGTTTTCCGGTGACTGAACATAAAACAGCAGGAGTTTCGAGGTTGGTTGCGTGACAACACAAGAGCAAAAAGCTCATCTTTGAGGCTATGTTCACACTGCAGGTCTTAATGCTCAAATCCGATTTTTTTTGTCTGCTTGTTCACACTACAAATAAAATGTGACAGCAAATGTGCTCTAGTGTGAACCCTAAAAGCGGCTCGCATGCGCAAAAGAAGACATCACACAATGCGCTCTGTTTAGACCCAGACCAAACAGTATTGTTTGACTTGGTCCTCTCTCACTTTATGTTAAATCCTCTATCAGGAATTTAGGTGTCACCTTTGACTCGAGTCTCACATTGGATGGGCATGTGAAATCTCTGGTTTCGGTCTTGTTTTTATCATTTAAGAAATGTGGCTAGGCTAAGCCCGGTTTTATCTCGCTCTGAACTCGAGATTGCTATACATGCATTTATTTCGTCACGCTTGGATTATTGTAATTCGCTGTTTATGTGTCTAAGCAAAGGTTCTCTGGATCGTCTGCAGGTTGT